AATGAAAAATTAAGAATGTAATACAACAGCACTGACTACTTTAAAGTGCATAACTAGGGCCAAGCCCGTGGCGCACTCGGGAGAGTGCAGCACTCCCGCCGCGGGTTTGGATCCTATATAGGGATGGCCGGTGCGCTCACTGGCTGAGCGCCGTGTGGCTGATCTCAAAAAAAAAAAAATAAATGAAATAAATAAATAAAGTGCATAACTATACAAACACTATTCTGTGAAATAACAAAAAAAAATTACCCTTAAATGAAGCATCTATAAACATGTGAGTAAGGAAGCATTAGAATTTACCCAGGAAAACCAGAAAAATAAACTTTAAGAACAAACAATTCTCATGTGGTAAGAGGCAAATCAGTGAGGTGTTTTTTTGTTTTTTTGTTTGTTTGTTTTTTTAGATTTAGGAAAGGCAGCTGACTATGTCTGAATATAATACAAATTTAGAATGTCATTGTGGGGGTGGGTAGCTTACAAAATTCTACAAATATTAAATGAGGAATGATAAGCAAAAGCTGATAAGTAACTTTATTTTCTTACCCTAAAATGACCACTTAAAAATTATTATTGTTCACACTTCAAAAATATGTAGAAATTCTAGGAAGAATTCAGAAATGAAAGATTACCAAAATGACAATAAATGTGACAGAGGAAAGGTTAAAAGTTTCTCTTAAACAATTTGATGATTTCTGTTCTCAGTATACCCTGGATATTGCTATAAGCCCCTTTCAATGACAGTAAAAGAGTAAAGAATCTTAGCTGGTTATAAAAATAAACTTCTCTATCATTTACATCGTTCAATATTGGATTAAATATAAGAAAAAATAGCTGACTCTGATGATAGCTAGACCAGATAATGTCCTGTGTTTCTACTTGTTAAGAAAAATGCTATCTAGTTAATATAATAAAATTTATTTTATCCTAATCTATCACTAAATTTCAAATCCAACTAACCAAATTCCTTTGAAGATGCCTCTGTGTATGTGTATATAAAAGTTAAGTTAATTTGCATAGGAGTTCAGAGGCTTTGCTCTACTGATTCCAATATTATAATTTGTTACTTTTTCTTGGACTTTTGAAAATTAGATGGAAGATATAATAATAAAACAAACAAGCTATATCAAAATTACTCCATGTACAGATTTCCCCACTCATATCTTCTAATTATAAATTAAAACTTTAAACTACATTTTCTTTAAAAAAGTCTGCAATCATGTTAAATCAAAAGCTACACATATGAATCTTTGATGCACTAGAGATAAGTTATAAACAGAGAATAGCAAATTTATGAAAATTAGAAGAAAAAAGAGAAATACACATTTGGTATCACACCACAACATGTCATATAATTCCTACATAAGTAATTTCTTGAGAGCTCATAGCTTAAAAAAAAA